GAAATATATGGTAGGAGTGACTTGTGTAATAATAATAATGTTTTATATTTTATAAAATTAGAGCTCCCTGTTAAGACAATAAAAGGTAACAAGCTGGATATAAGTTTGTGATGGAAATCTGCTAATTGTGTTTGATAGAAGTCCCACATAAGAACAGTGGAAGAGCTACAGTTTTTTTCCCATTATTTAACCAACTTTCCTTAATAGAAGCAGGAAAGTTTGGCCCATCTCTGTTGGACTTGATCTTCCTCCTGAATTGCCTACTCTAAGCTAGACTTTTTCTTTTACGTGAAAAATAGAGCGCGTAAACTTGACAAAATTAGCCAACTTTTTAGGAATTGCAGTTCAGGATGACGAATAAGGCTCTAGATCATGAAAAACTCTTAGGTGGTGCATGCTGAGTATCTTTCAAGAGTTTGAACTATGCAAAAGGGTGAAATTACAGTGGGTTGGCGTCACACACATTTTGTCAAACGGAAATGTCCCCGTGATGAGGCTAATTTTCTTCTGATGAATAACATTCTGTTGTTTAGAGTGCAACTGGTTTCATAGGTAATGTCTTGCAGTCACGAGAGGTGAGTCCTTGTGATTTTGCTAGTTTGAGGATTTAGTTTGCCTCTACAGGCCACATTTCAGGTTGGTGGCAACTCCCTTTACAATAATTCTTGTAGATTTTCTGCATTCAACGGTTAACAAACGCTCCCCTCTTTTTTTTTATATTTTGGTATGCCAGTGTGATTTTCCTTGGACTATTTATTCCTTTCCTTTCACTTTAGGTTGAAACTGAATTGATTAGCAAATAAATTGGATGAATAGATAATTACTTCGCCTTTTACTCTTTTGATGACCTTTGCAGAATGCTTTTAAAAGTTGTGGAGCTGTTCTATTGCAGTTCTTAAATGTTTTGTATGTTCCTAGCTTGCGATGCTAATGTAGTTCCTCACTCAGGCTTCAAGAAAAGAAGATGATCAAGCTGAAATCCCCAAATTTCCATGTGTCAAGGACACGGCTGATTGTATACAATCTTCCCAAGTCGATGAGTGAAAAACAGCTGAAGACACTTTGCATTGATGCAGTTACCTCTCGTGCTACTAAGCAAAAGCCTGTGATCCGGCAGGTGAGCTATGTTTTGAAATTTAGTCTTTACAGTTTGGCTATTTTTGTTCTTGCAACTCATTATCTTTTTCTATGTTGCAGATAAAGTTTTTGAAGGATGTGAAAAAAGGACAAGTAGTAGCAAAGAATCATTCTCGCGGAGTAGCTTTTCTTGAGTTCTCAGAGCATCAACATGCACTTGTGGCTTTAAGAGTTCTCAACAACAATCCTGGTAATGTGCCTTTAGTGTGCTAGATATTGCAACCTTACGTGTTTCTGGTGAATGTTAGGATTCTAGGTTTATGGGTTATCTGAGTAATTATGTATTTCCAGAGACTTTTGGTCCTGAGCATCGTCCAATAGTGGAGTTTGCTCTTGATAATGTGCAAACAATGAAGCTTCGTAATCAGAAACTTCAGCAGCAAGGTTTTAACAAGAACAGAGAAGATCTGCAGCAGAATGCCAATAAAACTGAACTGAATCCCCGTGATAAACAGTCAAGAAAACGCAAGTCCAGTGGGGACACATCAGTTGCTGGGAATAGAGATGTAGTGAAAAGCAAACGTGTCAGAGGTGCCACCGCAGAGGAAGGCAATGGGTCATCAGTTTCAGGGAGTAAAGATGGAGATGAACTGAAAAATAGAGGTGCCAGAGGAACCAACTCCGAAGAAGAAAGAGATGAGAAGAAGAATAACAAGAAGGAAGGTAAGAAGCTTGGAGGCACGAAACAAAAGCCAAAAGATAATCAAGAAGGAAAAAAGCTTGGCAGGTTTGGAAATGAACATTCAGATAATGCTGCTCTCAAGGTTGGACATAAAGAAGATGTTGCAGTGAGAACAAAAAGGAGGAAGTTGGAAGATAAAACTAACCAACAGAAACAAACTATGAGTTTACAGGTCAAGAAAAAGGATAAAAAGAATAAAAACCCGGCGGGACGGGATGCTGAGGACAAGTTGGATATGCTGATTGAGCAATACAGATCCAAATTCACAAACAACAGTTCTAATCAAACTGATAGTAAGCAGCAGGGCTCTAAACAGCTTAAAAAGTGGTTCCAATCCTAAACCAATTGTTCTTCTGTAGCTTAATTTTATTTGATGATAACTGAGTATCATTTTGGGTTTGTATTTTGTTGTATTCTCCCCTTAAAATATGGGATAACAATTTTGGTTTTAATATATGGGATAGCAATTTTAGTCAGAATTTTTCTTTTGTTTTTTCCTTTTTCTTTTAGCAATTGTTTTTACGTTCTGTTTTTAGCTCCCAGGACATAAACAAGGACATGACCCTTGATAGGAAGGTGTAGAGGTCGAGGATTAGGGTAGTAGGATAGGTGGTCTAGATTGTTCATACCGGTAATATTAGTACGCACTCTTGCATTTTGTTGGTAGTAGGTTTCTGTGACTACCCTTAGTTTTCTTTCATCTTGGTCATCTCATTATCGTGTCGTTTTTATGCTGCTTTTACATGGCTTTTGGGTGCCGTCCCTTATCCATCTTTTCATTAATGTGGTGCTTATGCTTTCCTGAGCCGAGGTCTATTGGAAACAACTTCTCTATCTTCACAAGGTAGGGGTAAGATATGCATATACACTATCCTTCCCAGACCCTATGATGTAAGATATTACTGGGTATGTTGTTGTTCTTAGCCCCCAAGGCGCATACAGGATGTGACACAAGGGGATTGGAAAACTACGAAAATGCTGCAGTTGAGAGGTGAACCTATTAACTAAAACATTTTTTGAACTCCTTTTGCTGCTTTATTGGAAGTTTTTCGTGCATTAATGAGTTACGAAATTTGCCAATTTTTATTAGCATGAGATTATTAGATTGTGCTCATAGGCCGTAAGGAGGCATAAGAGAGGAGTGTTAATAGTGCGGCCAATAAAGGTAAGGAAATAAGGAATAGACACGAACAAGAATAGGTCTTTTGCAACAAGAATAGGGAAACAAGTAAGAAGTTGTGGTTCACAAAAATTGTTTTTCCATTTTGTCCCAATAAAATAAAGCGTGGATATTCAAACAAGGAAAATTTTAACAAGATTATGAACAAGAATTTACCATACCACTACACGGTAAATTACAACAATAATAACCTAGTGTAATTTTTCAAGTGGGATCTGGGGAGGGTAGAATGTATGCAATCTCACCCAACCTTGGAATCCTACCTTGGAAATGCATAGACCCTCGGCTAAAGAACCATTACACAGTAAATTACAAACAGTAATATAGGAACATAAATTAAGAACATCTCTGTCATCAATTTGAAATCAAGATAACATAAATACAAAACTACTTACTTAATTTGTTACATTGAGTAACATATAAAAATCCCCGTGAAATGTGTAATCTTATTAGATTTAATCCAGCATGTCCATATTAAAACCCTCATTATGGGGACCCCACTCGCATGTGCCAGTTGTATTCGTTCCTTTTACTCTCTCTTTTCATCCAAAACAAACTTCTCCTATTAAGGAAAGCCGCCTGTTTGGCCAAGTTTATTTTTGGCCAAAAATACTTTTTTTTTGGTCAATAGCATTTTTGGCCAAAAATTAAGGTGTTTGGCCAAGCATCTGAAAGGAAAAAAAGTGGTTTTGAGGAGAAGCAGAAACAGTTTTGGAGAAGCAGAAAAAAGTAGCTTCTCTCCAAAAGTACTTTTGAGAAAAATACACTTAGAAGCAGTTTTTTAAAGCTTGGCCAAACACTAATTGCTGCTCAAAAGTGTTTTTCAAACTAATTAGCCAAACACAAACTGCTTCTCACCAAAAGTACTTTTGAGAAAAATACTTTTAAAAAAAAAGCACTTCTCAAAATAAACTGATTTTTGCAGTTTGGCCAAATGGGTTATTACTCCCACCATTCTCATCCCCTCGACTCTTTTTTTCTTTTGCACAATAATATATGCACTATTATGCAATTTGTAACCCATATTTCACCTTTTTATCTTTTTTGTTTCTTTTCTGGTTTTGTTTTGTGATAGACTACATTTCACCTCAAAGGCCAACTGAAATACAAATCTAAAAATAATAATAAAATGGATGTTTTCTTGTTAATCTCGATATTATATTGACATTTAGGTAAAACCAATAATGTCATAATGATTTTAAAAGAAATTATATTCAATCGCGTTCAATTTATGTGAATACATTTGGCTTGATACAGAACATAAGAAAAAGAAAGATAAAGACCTTTATGAAAAATTAAACATGTCATGATCTTTTCTCGGCTATAAATATATGGAATTAAGGGTAAAACTAGAATCTAAAAGGAAATATGTGATATGAAATAGATTTTTTTCCGATTTTTGAGAGTTAATTTGGTTAATCTTTAAAACTAAATTGAATTAGATTAACTCAATATTTAAAAGTTAAAATTTAGATATTTAAAAATTATATAAATGTAATATAAGTTACAATTTTTCTCATGTCAATGTGATGAAAAAATTATATGTCAAAATATTGGTCAAAATTTAGAGCCCGTTTGGACATAAGAAAATTTTCCCTTTTTTCCAATTTTTTTTTAGTTTTTCCCGAAATCAGCGTTTGTTCATAAAATTTTCAATTTTCACTTATGTATTTTGGTAATTTTCGAAAATTTGAAAAACTCTAAAAATCTGTTTTTCAAAATTTTTACTCAAATCACTCACAAAAACTTCAAAAACAACACAAAGTTATACTCATGTCCAAACACAACTCAAAATTAAAATACCATTTTCACTTTGAAAATTTTTCTCCCCTTTTTTAAAATTTTACAATTCTTATGTCCAAACGCCCAATTATATTGTCCAAACCCCGAAAAGCGAAAAGGTTGACACAAATAGAGTATTAATAAAAAAAGGAAAAACGGCACGGGTTAAAATGCAAAAAGATGGTATATTATAGGGTTCAAAATGCAAAAAATATGTCCTCCCAGCTCAGCAAAACAAAAATTCCAAATACCAAATACCAAACCTTTTTCCTTTCTTTGTTCCCCTCCGTCTCCGCCGTTCAATCTGCTACCTCTCTTTCCTTTTTCTAAAAGCCCGCATTTCCCTTTTTACACTCTCCAAAATTCTCCTATATCCCCAACTTTAAGAAAACCCTAAACCTTTTAAGGAAAAAGAAAGAGAATTTCCAGTTTCTGAGCCATTCATTCCTTGAACTTCTTCTACTGTGTGTATTTCTTTGTTCTTAACACAATGAAATTGAAGAAACTCCAATTTGGTGGTTCTGTGCGTTTGTTAGTACTGTTGTTGTACGTTGTATCATCTGTATACTCTCAGGAGGGTAGTGCTGCAAACGACGCTGCAGTGATGCAAGAATTGAAGAAACGAATCAACCCGCCGAGTTCACTCGGTTGGAATGACCCGGACCCGTGTAAATGGGGGAAAGTTCAGTGTACTAAGGATGGTCGTGTGACTAGGATCCAAATCGGAAATCAAGGTTTGAAAGGTTCTCTCCCACCAAACTTGAATAACCTTACTGAATTGCTAGTATTTGAAGTTCAAAATAATGGACTCACTGGGTCACTCCCGAGCTTTTCCGGGTTGGATTCGTTACAGAGCCTTCTTCTAAACAACAATGGGTTCACTTCAATTCCTACCGATTTTTTCGACGGGTTGACTTCTTTGCAAAGTGTTTACTTGGATAAAAATCAGTTTTCGCCATGGTCAATACCGGAAAGTCTGAAAAGTGCTACGTCTATTCAGACTTTCTCTGCCGTTTCTGCTAATATTACTGGTACAATCCCTGATTTTTTTGATGCATTTGCTAGCTTAACAAACTTGCATTTATCGTTTAATAATTTGGAGGGATCTCTGCCCTCAAGCTTTTCGGGCTCTCAGATACAGTCGTTGTGGTTAAATGGTCTAAAGGGTAGGTTGAATGGCTCGATCGCTGTGATACAAAACATGACTCAATTAACCGAACTCTGGTTGCAAGGCAATGCGTTTTCAGGCCCTTTGCCTGATTTTTCGGGCCTTAGTCAGTTGCAAAACTGTAGTTTGAGAGATAATAGCCTCACTGGTCCAGTGCCAAACTCTTTGGTTAATCTTCCTTCGTTAAAAGTGGTTGTATTGACAAACAACTTTCTTCAAGGGCCTACGCCAAAATTTCCATCTTCAGTGCAAGTGGATATGTTGGCTGATACCAATAGTTTTTGTTTGTCACAGCCGGGTGTTCCTTGTGACTCACGGGTTAATACACTGTTGGCTGTGGCTAAAGATGTGGGGTACCCTAGGGAGTTTGCTGAGAATTGGAAGGGGAATGATCCGTGTTCCCCTTGGATGGGCATTACTTGTGATGGTGGCAACATTACAGTGCTGAATTTTCAGAAGATGGGACTTACCGGGACAATCTCTCCCAACTACTCCTCCATCACATCATTACAGAAGTTGATCCTAGCAAACAATAATCTTATAGGAACTATTCCAAATGAGCTTGCGCTATTGCCTAACTTGAGGGAATTGGATGTTTCTAATAATCAACTTTATGGAAAAATCCCACCATTTAAGAGCAATGTTCTTTTGAAAACTCAAGGCAATGTCAATATTGGGAAAGATAATCCACCTCCACCTGCACCTGGAACACCTTCGGGGAGCACTCCTGGTTCATCTGATGGGAGCGGAGGTGGACAAACTCATGCAAATAGTGGTAAAAAGTCTTCAACTGGGGTTGTTGTGGGCTCAGTGATCGGTGGTGTTTGTGCTGCCGTTGTGCTTGCTGGGCTGTTTGTCTTTTGCCTTTACAGGACTAAACGCAAGCGGTCAGGTAGAGTTCAGAGTCCACACACAGTGGTTATTCATCCTCATCATTCAGGATCTGACCAAGATGCTGTTAAGATCACGATTGCTGGTTCAAGTGTCAATGGAGGGGATAGTTGTGGAAGCAGCAGCGCACCTGGGGACTTACACATTGTTGAGGCTGGTAACATGGTGATTTCCATTCAAGTTTTGAGGGATGTAACTAACAACTTCAGCGAAGTGAATATATTGGGGAGAGGTGGATTTGGAACTGTGTACAAGGGGGAGTTGCATGATGGAACTAAAATGGCTGTTAAGAGGATGGAATCTGGAGTTATGAGTGAGAAGGGTTTGGACGAGTTCAAGTCTGAGATTGCAGTACTTACTAAGGTTCGCCATAGGCATTTGGTTACACTGCTAGGATATTGCTTGGATGGAAATGAGAGGCTGCTTGTATATGAGTATATGCCACAAGGGACACTCAGCAGGTATCTTTTCAACTGGAAGGAAGAAGGGTTAAAACCCCTCGAATGGACAAGGAGACTAACCATAGCATTAGATGTTGCAAGGGGTGTTGAGTATCTTCACGGTTTAGCTCAACAGAGCTTCATTCATAGAGATCTGAAGCCATCAAACATTCTCTTGGGAGATGATATGAGGGCAAAAGTAGCAGATTTTGGACTTGTTCGCCTTGCTCCTGATGGAAAAGCTTCCGTTGTTACAAGGTTAGCTGGAACTTTTGGCTATCTTGCACCAGAGTATGCAGGTAAAATTCATCTTGTAACTTGTTAACTTTCATTTTATTATTGCATCTATTTGCTTACATAAACCAAAGTATGCAAGTGTATATAAGGTCAAATAATATGAAATTAATAGGCTTATGAGGACAGCGGATTCAAAACCAATAAAAAATGAAGTTGGAGAAGTTCCTGTTGTAAGTGGCAGCAGATGAACTTTTGCTGTAACATATATCTTCAAATGATGGACTGGGAATACTGAGAACATAAAAATAAGTAATATGCCTCAATCAATGTAAATTGAAATACTTCGGAGAAATTATTTTTTACTTTTTTGCTTGACACCATCTATTTCCTTGATAAAATGTAGGAATTTCCTGGTGACATGGCTCTGATTTTCATAAGTCAGTTCTGTTGTATTCACTATCTCTGTTGGACAAAGAGATTGATAATACCCATTGTGTGTTGTGCTCTGTTTACAAAATAGTGTTGGATGATGACTTCTTCGTATTGGGAAAAAGCACTTGCCTTTCTCTGATTAAAAACTTTCTTCCTCGATAATAAAGTTGTGTTACTGTAGTTCATATCCTTTAGGCATTGATAGGGTTCTTTCATTTGATTTCTGATTTACATTTTATTCTCCCTACAACAACGCCTCAATCCCAAACAAGTTGTGTTCGACTATATGAATCCTTAGTTACCATGTTCAATTTGAAATTCAATTTTACAAATCTCATCTTGAACTCCATTATTAGTATGCAAGAAATAGTTAACACTGATTATTTTTGTTTTAATTGAACAGTTACGGGCAGAGTAACCACGAAGATTGATGTGTTTAGCTTTGGTGTAATTCTGATGGAGCTAATTACCGGAAGAAAAGCTCTTGATGAATCACAGCCTGAGGAAAGCATGCATCTTGTCCCATGGTTCCGCAGAATGCATATTAATAAAGAGACATTCCGAAAGGCCATTGACCCCACAGTCGATCTTGATGAAGAAACTCTGTCCAGTGTCAGCACTGTTGCTGAGTTGGCTGGTCACTGCTGCGCTAGGGAACCCCATCAAAGACCAGACATGGGTCATGCGGTTAACGTGCTTTCATCTCTAGCTGAGCTCTGGAAACCAGCAGAGGTTGACGAAGATGAAATATATGGAATCGATTATGACATGTCCCTACCCCAAGCAGTTAAGAAGTGGCAGGCTCTCGAGGGAATGAGTGGCATTGACGGCTCTTCTTCATACCTAGCCAGCAGTGACAATACACAAACAAGCATACCCACCCGTCCATCTGGATTTGCTGATTCATTTACGTCAGCAGACGGACGATAATTTGATCTTTTGGCCTAATGTTTCCCTTTAGTGGTTTGGTTTGTTCAGTAATTGTACTAATCCATTGTATCTATCTTCACCTTCTTTTTTTCCCCTTCTTGGTTCTGCAGGGTTTTGTTAAGATCCCAGTGACAATATGCAGTTACTTTCATCTGATTCTTCTTAAACTTTTACCATCCTGTTCCTTCTTTCTAGAAGTTATCCAATACGCAAATATTTTGAGGCAATTCTGATTTCACGCTAATTACTTTAGATTATTTTGAAGGGAAGCCTTGGCGTAACTAGCAAAATTGCTATCATGTTATCATCATGGGTTAGAGCCGTGGAAACAGCCTCTTGCACAAACGTAGGGTAAAGGTTGCGGACAATATGCCCTTGTAGTCCGTCCTTTTCCCGGATCCCATGGGTGCCCTTACTTTGAATTCTTTCATCCTTTCTAATCTCATTTGGAAGTCTTTTTTGGTTTGTCTAGATTATGAGCCATGAAGATTTTAATATGGGAATGTCAAAACTCACCTTTCTTCTCAGTTAGGCAAGTTTAAGGTCATTATTATAACCCTTGGAAGGTAGTATTAGGTTACACAGTGACAAAAGGCTAATATTTTCTGATATAGATTCTCTTGGACCCTTTGTAATTAAATATGTTATCTTAAGTGGCTGAGAGAAATGATTGAATGGACCAATATCTTGTGGCCACGTTGGGGTACAAAACCAAAATAAAATGGGGCCTGCAGATTTTATTTTGTCATGATTTGCAAGAATTAAGTCAACTATTATAATTTAAAAAATGCTTTTGATAGGAACAGGGAAGAAATAGTACTTGTTAATTAGTATTTGCTTCTATCAGCATGCTTAGAATGTAGCATTAGTTTTCTTCTATTCCTTAATCTAAGCCAGAGAATGATGCCAAAAGTCTTGACAGTCCCTGTACAGCTCAACCCCCACCCATTAATGTCTGACTTAACTATTGTTTTTTTAATTATTTATTCGATCTCGTACTTTTTTCAACTACTGTAGTCAATTTATAGTTTCTTGTTTGATTTTTCTATCTTTAAAAAATTATCCCTTCCACTAGATCCCAGATCCCACCACTTAAGAAGGTTTTTTTACTTGCACAAGTACTAGTATTAAAATATTCTAGTCTATCATTAGGGTAGAATAGCTAAAAGGGTATCGGGTATCTAGATATTTTGATTTCCTAAAAGGTTATTCAAAATTTCTGAAAATTTGACACGGGAAATGCTTTGTTTTAGGTAATTTTATTAATAATGTTTCGAATGATTTATTTGTGTTTTTCTTAATGGAGATTGAACGGTTTCTCAACCTTAAAATTTCGAGAAACGTGGTTCCCTTGTTTGGAATTCTTTATTGTTGTGAGGAGATTGGGACGTGGGGGAATATATTTGTAGATAATTTTTTTCCGTAGGGGGGGTTGGGGGGAGGGGTATGGTGTGACAAGTGCATGATAAGGACTGGAAGGTGCGTGCCAGCAAGATTACTTGTCTTTTGGGATCTTATTATTGTTTAGAAATATTTTATTAAGTACTAGTTTTCGAATACGTGCGTTGCATGTATATCTCATACTAATTCATGTAAATATTTTTAGAAGAAGTTGGATGAGTTATGCAACATCAGAAACCTTTAGGAGAAAATTAGAGAGCATAGTTTTACAAAAAAATTATGATAAAGACACAAAGTTATATGAAAATACCTTGTGATTCTTAATATACAAGGTAAAATTTCTTGTACGGTCACCAGTAAATTATATACTTTCATCATCATCTTTATTATTGAAGCTTCACTTTTCCAAAAGTGGACAAATAAAGGTTAATAAATTGAAGAGAAAAAAGATATAGCATACGTGCGAAAGCCATTGCTTATTCCATAATTTTCTTGGACGAAAAGTATAGATAGAAAGGCAAAAAATCAGGCGTCGGCTCTGAAATGATGGAAGATTGAATCATTCCTTCATTCTATTCGGGCTATTCGTTTCTGGCGGGTGATTTATTCATGAGCTAGAGAACTGAACATAAACGGGTAACTCGTTATATGAAATGCTCATTCAGAAATGTTGAGTAATTAAAATCAGCCAAAGGAATAAATTTGTGGCTCTAAAGAGAACTTGATTTAATTATAATCAGCCGAAGGAACAAATTTGTGACTCTAAAGAGAACTTGATTTACTATTCATCGATATTTAACAGATATTAGTTTATAAGAAGAATGATAAAAGGCTAATGATGCGTGGGACCTTTTTTATCTTTGCGCCAAAAAAAAAACTTTTTTTCTATACAATATTCTACTAATTCGGATATGCGCCATGAAGTTCAATTAAGGACATTTTCTATGAAAGGCAACTTTATTTTCGGGTTGTGAACTCGAGATTTCTAATTAAGAACGGATGGGTACTTATCATAACCTTTGATAGTATATATGTATGAGACCTTAGCTTGGTCCTCATATACCATAGAAGGACAAACTTTTAACATTATTTCTAATTAATTAATTAGTAATATATTTGGGTTCTTATGAACATGTTTTGACTTGCCTTTTTTTACTCATTCAGAGACGAAGTTTTAGTCGTTCAATAGGAAACAATCTTGGCAGGAAAATATGATTATTAATAAACGCATTGAAACTTAACTGCAAATAAAACTTCTAGCAGAACTTATCATAAAGAAAATAACACAAATCGAACAATATTCAGCAAGAAATTAAAATTATAACGTATATGATTAAATAAAGTACCGTATCATAAGAAAAATTTACATACACACAGAAATTCTAGCTGTTACAATAACAAATCAAGAAATCGTAAAAGTTATCTACTGCATATCCCAAACTTTAGTCCACCTTTTACTTCTTTGATATGCCAAGATATAGTCCACATTTGACAATCAATTCATTAAAGTATAAAAACTTACTATGTAATTACTATAATGTTTAAAGAATTGGTTAAGAAGAGCAAAAGAAAGAGTTATAGAAATAAACAAAACACAAATGAAAAATAACGTGTAAAGAGGAAAGTTTACCTTGATTTGATAGTTTTAGATAAGTGTCGTATATCGGAGATAGAATCAGATGAGTTGTTGAATCTAGTTCAGCTCATGCTTTTGAAAAAATAAAGATGAAAGGATTCTTAATTACATTAATGTGCATAACTGTTGAAAACTGAAAAGAAAGATATTTTAAAGGTTAAGATAAATTGTACTCCTATACATTTTTAATAACCACGGTAGATGAAAATAATTCAAGTGGCTGCAGTAATGCTTGAAAGTCCAAGCAGTAATTGTCTTTTCATTCACCGTATTTCTTGTAATTGTTATAGATTTATTGATTGGATAGTTGAAATGTAAGTTTTTTTTTTTTTTTGTATAAAAATATATATATTGAAATAGTAGTAAAGTGAAGGGTAAAATAGTCTTTCAGCTTCTGATGGATACTTTAGTAATTTAACCTTACACTTTGGGCTTTGTTGAAGAACAGAAGAAGCAGCAGCATCACAGAGACAGAGAGACAGAAGAACAGGCGAGGCATCAAAGCAAAGAAGAAGAAGACAAAATGAAAACACATTGATACTGATAAGTGGACAGTGACGTGGCAGCATTATAGCTGTTGATACTCAGATCAGAAGATCTAATCCTGACCGTTGGATTAGAACACATAAACACATCCTGGCCATTCATTTATTAGTACCATACACATGAGTGAGCACATGCCCACATTTGTATTAGTGAGCATGCACTAAAAGTGAGTATGGACTCACATAGTAAACAATACCATTGTCTAGGAATATTATATGTACATTTGTTGTATCTATAGGATGTAATGTATATAGCAGCTACAGGGTAAATATACAAGACAAGAAAAATTCACTGCATCATCAGTCCTCTCATTCTTTCATGGTATCAGAGCAGAAATCTGCTTGAACTCCATCTTCTAAAACTCACTGCTTGACTTCTAATCTTCTTCTTTGAACTCAACTTGTTTTATCACCATGACTGGAATAGATTCTTCAGTAACTCCTCCTTCTGGATCAACAAGTCAAGCAGTCAATCATGATGTCAACCATCCCTATTTTCTTCACTCTTCAGATGCCCCTGGGATGACTCTTGTGACCTCACCTTTTGATGGAAGAGGATTCCCAGGATGGAGAAGGTCAATGCTGATTGCATTGTCAGCCAAGAACAAGCTGGGATTCATCAATGTGATTTGTGATGAGCCTGCCTTGGATTCAAAGGATCATGCACAATGGAGTAGGTGCAATGACATGGTAACCTCATGGTTCTTAAATTCTCTAACCAAAGAGATAGGAGACAGTGTAATCTATTCCAAATCTGCAAAAGAACTTTGGAATAGTCTTGAACATAGATTTGGACAATCCAATGGAGCCAAGCTCTACCACCTACAAAAGGAAGTTACTAAGACAGTTTAGGGAAACAGCAGTATTGCAGGATACTTCACAACTCTGAAAAAGTTATGGGATGAGTTAGATTCCCTGAACTCACATCTAGGATGCACTTGTACCTGTGTGTGTGAAGGGAAGAAGAAGGTAGCCAAGTTCCTAGAGGATCAGAGAGTCATCCAATTTCTAATGGGATTGAATGATGTGTATGCACATGCAAGAGGCAACATCCTCATGATGAGCCCACTTCCAAATATGGATCATGCCTATTCCATCCTCCTGCAAGATGAAAGTCAGAGGGAAATATTTGTTAGCCCACAATATCCAACAGATGCTGCATCTTTTATGGTAGGAGCTCAAGGGAAGTTTAATCAAAGGAACAATATTCAGAAATCATGGGGAACTCCTCAGAAACAGGGGAATTTTCAAAACATGCAACAAAAGTTCAAAAGGAAGGCAAAGTACAATTCTAATGTGAGTTGTAGTCATTGTATGAGAACAGGGCATGTGAAGGAAGAATGTTACAGACTAATAGGATTCCCAGATGATTTTCAATTCACAAAATCAATAAATTATCACCCTGTCATAAAGGGAAATGCAGTGGTGACAGGACAAGAAGGTCAAGAGAAGAACAACACATCTAGTGAAGGAAATATCAGCAGTCAAAACCAATTTTTCAGTAAGGAGCAAGTGTCAGAATTGGTGAACATAATCAAGCAAGTGCAAATTGGAAGTGCAGCAGCCACAACATCAGAAATCAATGCTAATGCTGTAGCTGGTACCATAC